GAGTATGCACTATTGTGAAGATTTTGATGTATGTTTTTATTGGTGAACATTTATTCATTTTTGTTGGGAAAATGTGTAGGAAAGAGATTCCTGGGTTATAGGCTATGCTGATGTATAAAGATGCTGTCAGTTTTTCAAAGTGATTGTGCCTGTTTACACTCTTCATTGGCAGTAAATGAACAGTCCAGAAATTTCACCTTCTTCTCTATACTTGGTGCTTTCTGCCTTTTCGCATTTTTGATATTCTGGAGTGGGTATAGTGGTATTGCATTGAGATTTTGTCTTATATTTTTTGATAACTACTCACAGAGCAACTTCACATATGTTTATTGGGCCATGTGTCTTCTGTTTGGTTGTTTGTATTTTTTCTTAATGATTTGAAAAAATTCTTGATATATTTGGATATAAATCTTTTATTTTTTGTCACTATGTAGATGTTTGTATGCATGTGTGTATTTACATATTATATATGTAGATTATATTATCTACTGAGAGTTGCTTTAGAAATCTCCTAATAGTGTTTATTGATGATATAACTTACCTATTTTGATACTGTCCAACTATATAGGTTTTCCTTTTATTGTTACCAATTTTTAAAACTGTTTGTGAAGCCTTTTCACATCTTAATATCATGAATATATGTTTCAGTGTTTTACTCTAAAAGCGTAAAAGCTAGGTGCTGCCGTTACAGAAATGAAATCAGACATCATCTCCTTTCCAATGCCTCACAAAAGCAGCCGTTCCTGATTCAAAGGCCAGTTTCTTGACTCCGAGTGCTCACTTTTGCAAGCTTTAGTTAATGTCATGTATATCCCCCTATTCTCAAGGTCTTCTTTCTTTCTAGTTCTCCTTAGTATACACAACCTCTCAAGGCAATCACTTCCATGCCCATGGCTTCAGTTGCTTTCTCTATTCACTGAGGATAATAGAGTTTTAAATTTAAAATATTAGCTTTATTTTATGTAGGGTCCCTCATTTGCTATAACCATAGATTCAAAGTTACTCCACGAAAGTAATAAAAAATGGTGATATACTTAGCATGTAAATTTTAGGAAATTTCCCCAGTTACTCTTAATGGTTTCATTTAGTATGTGTGTTATTTTTAAAAACGTATGTTGGGATGTCAGAAATGGAAATGGACTTAGCCCACAGAGATTTATCTTCAACTTTGACCAGAGAGTTCCATTTTAATGTGACACTAAGCGTAAAAATCTGTCTTTTCCTCCTTACCTATTTCTCTTCCTACGTTTTCTGCGAAGAGAAAGGTACAACTCTGTACCCAGTCTTCCCCAGCAGAGCCCAAGCAGCCCTGTTTTTCCCTCTACTTCCCTGCTTTCACATCTCATGACCAAGTACTTCCTATTCTGTCTCCCCAATAATCACAAAATTTTTTTCCTCCACTTTTGTCACTGCCACTGCCTTTAGCATCAGTCTTCCTTTAGATAGTCTCTTAATTGGTCTGTTGCTTCCTTCAGTCCTTCCTTATTATACAGACCACTACACACACATCTGACAGAGACTCTCATCTTTGTATGGTTCAATGACTCAAATTTTCAGAATAAATTTAAAACCACCCCAGCGTCAAATTTGGGGTCAGATAGAGGTGAGTTTGTATCTCAGGTTCATATACTGTCCAGTAGTGTGATCTCAGAAAACTGAACTTCTTAAGCCTTGTGTATCTGCCTACTCTCATTGAGACTTGGGACTGTTTAATACATACGGTGTCTGGCATGTAGAAGGGACTTCATCAGTGTTGAATGAAGAGGAGGCATTTTAAAATTCACATTTAAAAACAAAACAAAACGTTTTTTTAAAAAATATGCCAGTCTATAATGTCACTTCCCCTCCAAGCTTGACTTCTACCTGTACTTTCTGATATGTTTTGGTCATGTCCCCACCCAAATCTCATCTTGAATTGTAATCCCCATAATCCCCACATGTTGAGGGAAGGACTCAGTGGGAGATAATTGGATTGTGGGGGCAGTTTCCCCCATGCTGTTCTTGTGATAGTGAGTGAGTTCTCATGAGATCTGATGGTTTTATATGTGTTTGACAGTTGCTCCTTCACATGCTCACACTCTTTGGCCTGCCGCCATGTAAGAAGTAACTGCTTCCCCTTCTGCTATGATTGTAAGTTTCCTTAGGCCTCCACAGCCATGTGGAATGTGAGTCGATTAAACTTCTTTCCTTTCTAAATTACCCAACCTCAGGTATTTCTTTATAGCAGTGTGAAAATGGAATAATGCACTTTCTGATAATCACGCTTGAGGAATTGGGGAATTCATAGTACCTGAGATCAAATAATGGCCCCAGCCTTGGCAGTCATGTGACCTTGGGGAGATAACATACCTTCTCCATCTCAATGTCGTCTCTAAAACTGGCGATCTTGTTTCTGAGGGTTAAATGAGCATAGCTGACTTGAAACACTGTCAGGCACATACTGCTTGCCAGATGTTCAGTCCCTGCCATGGAAGGAAGATACAGGGGAGAAAAGGAAGTTGGTAAGTTTTAGCATTTTAGAGCTTGTGGGGACAAGTTAGGTTTCTATTTTGTGGAGAAGGAGGTGGAGGCGGATGGGTCCTAACCTGTCATTCAAGACACACAGCCATAACTCTTTTTTTTTTTGAGACAGAGTCTTGCTCTGTCGCCAGGCACCAGGCTGGAGTGCAGTGGCGTGATCTTGGCTTACTGCAACCTCCACCTCCTGGGTTCACGCAATTCTCTTGCCTCAGCCTCCCGAGTAGCTGGGACTACTGGCATGTGCCACCATGCCCAGCTAGCTAATTTTTTTGTATTTTTAGTAGAGACGGGGTTTCACCATGTTGGCCAGGATGGTCTCGATCTCTTGACGTAGTGATCCCCCAGCCTCGCACTCCCGAAGTGCTGGGATTACAGTAGTGAGCCACCAGGCTTGGCCCACACAGCCATAACTCTTTAGTGAGAGTAAAGCTAGGGCCCCAGGGATTGCTGTGGTCAGGTTGCAGATGAAAACTACCACTCATTAGAAGACGGGAGAGGAGTATTTCATTACAAAAGCACTGAACAATTCAGGTGTATCTACATTGAGTCAACAAATAAAAGTTGAACTTGGTTGCCAATGGGACCCATTCTGCTAACTGAGACTTTGTATAGAACTCTTAGAGGAAGATGGCTTCCTGTAATGAACCACCCTGTTTTTAGGACTACAAATCTCAGGAAGCTGGTGGGTGATGAATGAAAACCTTAGTCCCACTGGCACTGCAGGAGGGCCAGGAGAGCAGTGGCATCATAAGCCACAGGGTGGGGCAGCCAGGGCAGCGGGGGAGGGGCGGCAGTAAGGCTGGGGCATTGTGAGGTGTGGGGCGGGGCATTGTGAGTCACGTGCCTGGGCTTCCACCTGGGCCAGTGGGCTTCAGTCTGTAGGTGACTGCAGGAGGAGGAGCCGCTCCTTTTGTACTCTCTTCAGGCAGTTGTTGTATCTCTCAGCGCTTGTTGGGTTTCCAACCTATTAAATTAGCCATCTGTTTTTGACCCTCCCAGACAAGTCAACTCAGGAGAGGCGGCAGGGTGCGGGCCTTGGCCCGAGCCCCGGCTGGGGCCGGGCTGTGGGGTGGGCAGGCGAGCCGCAGGCAGGACCATCTCTGAAAGTGCGGCATAGCCTCGGCCTAGGGCAGCAGGAGTGCCTGGCCAACACTGTGAGCGGAGGCACAGGTAGCGGCAGACAGGAGTAGAGGTGCCCCATGGGGAACATACTGAGCTGCTGTGTGCGCCCCAAGGTCTGCGAAGAATCGGACCAGGATGAGGGCTCAGGGCGTCCTCCTGAATCTGAAATCTGTGAGGCAGCAGCTGAGGACACGACAGCAGCTGAGGACACGACAGCTCCTGAGGACACGACAGCAGCTGAGGACACGACAGCTCCTGAGGACACGGCAGCACCTGAGGACGCGGCAGCAGCTGAGGACGCGGCAGCACCTGAGGACGCGGCAGCACCTGAGGACACCACAGCAGCAGTGCCCACGGCTGCTGCCGTAGAAACTGCCGAGTTGACTGTTGAAGCTGGTGAGGGCCATCCTGTGCAGGACATCTGTGATTGGGAGATGCCTGAAGGTAAGGAGGTGATGGTACCATCTGCCCTGGCCACCCCTCTGGCTGCTACTGTCTTCAAGGTCCCCTGGGGGGCATCCCCTACCTCAGGCTCCTTTTTGCCTGCAGCCAGTTTTTCCCAGGGCTGGTCAGAAACAAAGACTGGCTCTGCCTTGTGTTCCTTTTTCCACTGCTTAGTCTTTCTCCACGGAGTCCAATTTCTTTTCTCCTTCCAAACACCCAGTTCTTGTTCGCTCATCTCATTCTCTCATGCTGGCCTGGGACCATTTATTTATGTCTCTTCTTGTCTGTAGCTCTGTTTATTATTCTGTGGGATTTTGTTGAGGCTTTTTTTGGAATATTCTCTTCCTTTTTTCACTAAAAACTCAAATACCCCAACTTTCCAGTACCCATCTCATTCTTCTTTTGTACCTATCCAGATGGTACCTAAGTGAAGGAACCAGGTAAGTGCTTAGTTATTTCCTTCGTTAAAGTAGCTAAATCTCAGGACAATTCATACTGAAGTATTTGGGGATTTCTTCTTTGAAATCCGAATGAAGTTTGCCATGGGAGAGATGATAGGATATTCTTGCTGGGTTGCTTTAAGTCACCTTGATAGGTGCTTATTTTTTTCTAACTGTAATTTGAACACAAAAGGAAAGAAAACGAGAGGGTGCTTAAAGTAATTGTGAAAGATGTGAAATGTCATGGCCAGGGCTGCAGGAAAATGGGTGTTTGTTTTCCCCCAAAGGAATTTACCTCTGAGGCTCTGATGACTTTAAAATTCTTACCTTAATACCAAATGTGTCTCCAGATTTATTCAGGTGAATTAACAGACTTTATTTACCTCCCTGTTCTAAAAGAGAGGTAGGGATGGTTCGTGGTCAAAACTTTCAAAAGACATGAAATGTCAACGTAGACTTTTAAAGTGTGACATAAAGATTGAAGGTTAAAACTGTGGAGAGTGTTTGCTGCCATGGCTCTCCCTTTGTCCTTCCCCCGCCTGACAATAGCATCTTGTTCAAAGATAAGAAAGTAAAGCATAAGAAGCTGGAAGCCATCATTCTCAGCAAACTAACACAGGAACAAAAACCAAACCACACATATTCTCTCTCATAAGTGGTAGTTGAATAATGAGAACACATGGACACAGAGAGGGGAACGTCACACACTGGGGGATTCATTGTGGGGTGGGGTGTAAGGGGACGGAGAACATTAGGATGAATACCTAATGCATGTGGGGTTTAAAACCTCGATGATGCGTTTACAGGTGCAGCAAACCACCAGGGCACATGTATATGTATGTAACAAAGCTGCACGTTCTACACATGTATCTCAGAACTTAAAGTAAAAAAAAACAAAACAACAAAAAAAAACAACTTTGGTTGGGCTCTTAGTTTTTTTCAGAGGTAGAATAATTAAGACTCATCAATGTGACTTTGTAACTTGGAGTACTATACTCACTTTTCAAGATGTTTAAGAATTTTGAATAAACAAATATATTATGTGAATTCATTATACCTTTATACACAAAATGTGTAAGTACTTGTGTAAACTTATACTCTGGTTGCTGGTGTAAGGAAAGCCTGTGAGTGATTTTACACACCAATTCATAGATGGGTGGTGTTGGATTAGAGAACAACAAAGGCTCTTTATTGTTATTCTTTAGGATTACAATACAGTTTATGCATGTCTCTTTTGGCCCCTTCCAATACAAAGAAGGCTTGTGTGTGTTCTCCATATGTGTTGCTAATGAAGAAATGAAGACAGAGATCTCACATGACTATGGAAGACAGCTGCTCAACAGAACTAAGGTTCTGTGTCTTCAGAATGAAATGGAAGTGACAAATATGCTGAATTTACTTTTTTTTTTTTTTTTTTTTAAAAAAAAAAGGGAATTAAAAAAATTTTATATTTACTTTTTTTTTTTTTTTTTTTTAAATAAAAAAGAGTCTCACTATGTTAACTCATCCTGGCCTAAATTCCTGACTTGGGTTCAAGGGATTATCTTATCTCATTCTCCTGAGTAGCTGGGAGTACAGGCATGTGCCACCTTGTCTGGCCTCGTCTTATGTCTATACATTCATTTCAATGGATAAGAATAAAAGTAGAGGTATTAAAATGGCCTCCTTGTAGAATAAATGAGTTGATAAATTGTTGTAATGATGACATCTTTTTTCTTTTCTCTCTGTATAGATAGGGCTTTGGAGTCCGACCCTTCTGATCATCCAGAAGCTAAGACATCTCAAGGAGATGGTGAGACAACATTGTTTTTTTCCACAAAGAAAAAGAGTGAAAACTCTTGTTTGATGAGGTGTATAATAGAAAGTGTTTAGCAAAACTCATTGGTTTAAATTTTTAAAATTTTCACATATTCACTTGTGTTATTTTAACACGTGATATACTTTCCTTTGGTTGTTATCATGCTAGTGAAAACATGTCAACTTTTTGTTTACACAGTTTCCCATCTTTTTATCAACACAATTTGTCATGTAATGGAGGAATCTTAGATTTATCTTTATGTTTAATTCTTTGTTCCTCTTCCCAATGGATAAGAATAAAAGTAGAGGTAGTGAAATGGCTTCCTTGTCGAATTAATGAGTTGATAAATTGTTATAAGTGATTACATATTTTTTCTTTCTCTCTGTATAGATTCAGCATTAGAGTCCAGCCCTTCTGAAGCAAGGACATCCCAAACAGATAGTGAGACAACATTGTTTATTCTGCCAAGAAAAAGAGTGAAAAATCTTGTTTGATCAGATGTATTATAAAAAGTATTTAGAAAAACTCATATTATCCGACACAGTGGGAGGTCTCTTTCCCCTCCTTGGATTTCCCCTCTGGGGTCCCGCTTCCACACACTCTCTCTTGAGGAAGCTTTCTCTCTCCTCTGTTTCTCTCCCTCTCTCTAAATAAATCACTTTTCTGCAAATAAACAAACAAAAAGAAAAACTCATATTGGTTTAATACCAGAATGAGAATTTGCTTCTTACCATGGGAGTGGACCAGGCCATTCATAAGGAATGCTCCGCTGTTATCAAACACTTCTCACTAGGCCCTGTCCTCGGCATTAAGGATCCCATTTTAACATGAGATTTGGACAGGGAGACATATCCAAACCACATCAGAGGTGTATTTCCCAGTTCCTTCCAGAGACATGGGCTTCTCATACCTGGAGAGCATGAAAGCAGAAAAAAGAAAAGCGATTCCATGTCCCTCACACTTCAGTGATAGGAATGTTTGCCTACAAGGCCGTTCCAGCATTAAAGGTGGAGGCAGTGTAGGATACAAAGCATGGCCCAAGTCCCTCTTGGAGCTTTTATTATTCTGGTTTTTTTTTGCTGCAGACACCATATCCAAATTAGGTTTGTCTACTTATTTTAAGACGTAAATTTGGCTGGGTGCAGTGGCTCATGCCTGTAATCCCAGCACTTTGGGAGGTGGAGGTGGGTGGATCATGAGGTCAGGAGTTCGAGACCAGCCTGTACAAAATGCTGAAACCCCGTCTCTACTAAAACAAAAACTAGCCAGGCATGGTGGGGTGCACCTCTAATCCCAGTTACTCAGAGGCTGAGGCAGGAGAATTATTTGAACCCTGAAGGCAGAGGTTGCAGTAAGCCAAGGTCACACCATTGCATTCCAGCCTGGGTGACAGAGCGAGATTCCTCAGTATCAAAAAACAAAAAAGAACAAACAAACAAAAGATTAAATTTAAGATAGGTTACTTTTCAGTTGTGTAAAGACCCTGTTTTTGTTTGTTTTGTTTGTAGCAACATATTAGTAGATGACCACCGATTGTGGTTGGAGAGGCTTACAGGGATTCTGGTGCATCTAGAGATAGGTGCCTGGCCAGGAAGCAGTTCTTAGAGCTGTTAGCTCTTAGATTCCGGTAATTAAGCTACGTGTAAATGCGGAATGGGAGAATACTAACGGATCATGGCTCATATATGCAACCATTAAATTTTTTAATTAGCAGAATTTTTCATCTGGCCTAATTTTTGTGCCCTTTCGTACATGAGTATTCTTTCACTCGTATGTAATGAAAACAGAAAGCAAACTAGGTCAAAAAGTAAATCTATGTTATTACATTTTACTTTATGAGATTTTTCATGCCAGAGAGTTTAAATTATAAATTGTTGAAATTAATTTTCTTAAATGGAATTTTCTCTGATTGTACATAGGAGTAGTCAGTAAGATGTTAACAACTACTTTTATTTTATATTATTTGTGTCAGAAGTGACCTTTTTTTTTTTTCTTTCATTCTTAGCAGAAGAAATAGGAGAAAACAGCGGTACAAACCATGTAAGTAAACAGTCAAAAAGTTGAGAAATTGATAGTTTGATATAAAAGTATATCTCTCTTCATTCCTTTAAATTATAATAGGGACCCAGTGGTGACAGCATGGACCTCGTTTCGTGGATTTTTGAATCACTTCTACCTTCCTATCAAATTTATCCCAAAAAGTCTTCAGCTTAGTGTGCCCACCTTTTAAGGATTGCTGACACTCAAGTTAAATTTCAATAGTTGGTTGTGATATAAAGATCTGCTTTAAATATTTAATCTTATTTTTAATGAAATAACAAAAATAGAAGAGCTAAGTTAGTTGTCAGTATGGTCTTTGTAGCACACTCTTTAATTGTCAGTAATATTGACATGATTATGACTATTCTGCACTTCTTCTGGATCATTTTTTTTTCCTAGCCTATGCTGGTTTATCCAGCCAAATGCAGTAAGTAGCCTCTGGATGGCCTGTCACTTTATTGAAAAATAATAATTATTGTTAAGTTATATTTTACATATAATTTACATTTTACATCCATTATTTTTTAGCACGAAGCTAATTTTCTGACTGTATTCATTTGCCTGTTTTCTAACAGCTGATCCCCGTCCCCTCCACCCGCCAAGTGTTATAGCATTTATCATGTGCCTTTCAAAGATATTTTCCGTCTGATAAAACATATCTGTTGCTCTTTGTTTTTGGCGGGTGGTGGGCAGCTTTCTTTGGCCTTTTGTCATCCTAGTTCAGTATAGAGAGACTTTCCCTAGATATGCTTGATGTCTTAGCCTATCTGTGCTATCTCTTTAAAGTCTTTTGGGATCTCACATAACTGCCGCCTTGTGTGGGATCGCCTGAGTCCTAGATTCTGTGTTTCCATCTGGCCTGTTATCTTCTCTAGTTGTACTTATGCACACTCCTGGGCAGAGATGTTTAGAGATCTGACCAGGCTTAAAATTCTTCTTCCTTGTTGGAGAGTAAACTTCTAGGTTGAATCTAAATTTTATGGTTCTGAAGATAGTCTGCAATTGTGCTCTCATCACAGTGTTGTTCTTGAATCTATTGCCATTGTGTGACACGTTATTTATAACCGCGTTTTTTGTATTTTTGGAAGCTTTTTCGGAGCTTTTCTGTCTCTGAGATTCTGAAATTTCATAATAACAGCGTGGCAGGCGATCTTTTCATTTTATTGAGGCTACTAAGTCTGGAGACTCTCTGTTTTTGAGAATGTTTTTTATTTTCTCTGTTACTTTTTTCTGATAGTCGTGTTAATCAGTCGCTAGTCTGCTTAGACCAGTAGACCTGCTATGGTTTCCAATTTTTCCCCTTCAGTTTTTTTCAGTTTGTCTTTTTATTCTACGTCTGGGATATGCTATGAGTTTATCCTCTACTATATCTATTGAATATTATATATTTTTAGAGTGTTTTAACATTTTTTTAAAAGTTTTGCTCCTGATTTTGACTGGTCCCATGAATTTTGTGTGTGTTGTTTCATTCTCTCTTGTTGGAGGCTTTTCTCCAATGTGTGGTGGTCTCTGGCTTGCTTGCTTGATTTGGAAGCACGACTTCTGTTAACTGATGGCACTCAGTGTGAGGTTGTGGAAGCAACTAGCTTTTCATTTGGGAGACCTCAGTGTATTATCTGGGGATCTTTATTCGAGACAGTTTAGTTTCTTGAGAATGTTCTCCCAAGTTTCTGCCTGGCTACTTGCTTTCCAAAAGCAGAGTTAGGGAAGAAATTTGGAGTTCTATTTTTGGTGTATAGTTTTCTTTATATCTCAGGTT